ACAGTAATCTAATTAATAGGCCATGAGCCAGGCTAACAAAATCAAAGAATCTGATTAGGCAAGTACCCCTCTTGCTATCTCCGCTGCCCCCACCCCCACCCATCTCTCCAGCCTCCCCACGATTTCCTTTCCTAGACTGAAAAGTTCAGGAGGTAAACCCAGAGCTCTCTGATTTCCTTATTGGAATCAAGATCAAGCCCATGGTGGGGCTCCGCAGCCAGGAGGTCACATGGGAGACCTTCAGGCAAGGAACTGAGATGACCGAGAGACTTACAAAACTTGGAGAGCTGGAGAGGTGGCCCCCACACTGCTCACTTCTCCTGGAACCAGCGCCACCACACCTGCACTGGTTGCTTGCTGATGCTGTCAGGGACCGAGTTAGGACGGACAGGTTTCTCACTCACAGCCATTTTAAGAAGACATTTAAAAAAAAATAACACAGCACAACTCTTTTTTCTACGTTACCTTGTCTCTGGGTCACCAATAACCTCAAAGTTTGAACTTTCTTTCAACACCCTTTCCCAGCATAGATGTCTGAGCACAGCCAGGTATTAGATTTTATCACTGATACATAGCATCTGTTCTAATCCGTCCAGTCAGCCACGTGCATTTCATGAAAGAATTCTTTAATTTCTATCCTTCTGCCTTGAAAAAAACCAGGTCCACCTCCTAAATAATTAATTTCAAGTCTGCATCCAGTGCCAATACTTGTTGCATCCATTTTAGAGTTTGATTAATTACCCTGGAACTTGGGCAAACTAAACTCCATGTGGAGAGAATGTTTCTTCCTTCAATTTAGTTCTGAAAGCTACACATTATTGATGGATCTTACTCTATTTACATACAAATTGGTGCAAATATGCCCATCTCCTAAAATGCATTTTGTATAAATATATAAAAGTGTCATTTTTGATTTAGCTTGAGAGGTTGATCATTTATTACAAAAATAAACGAATAAATACAACAATATATTGTTGCTTCCAACAGGATAAATACTTTACAAATATATAAATTTAAAACAAATTTAATTGTTAAAATTATTTAAAATATTACACTTATTGATAAAACTATCAATAGTATATACGGCATTTAATATTAGAACCAATTATTCTCTGAATGTTGAAAACCATTCATACAAAACATTGTGAGCATGGTAGTGAGCAGACATGGGAGGCTACAGGAAGCAGAGGGACTCTCTAAGATCAATAATGAACAGTTCTGTTTTGGAACAAAGAAGTAGTCCTTGGCTAAGTCCTTAAAAAATTAAAAAGGCAGAGAAACAACAGCAAAATGACTATTTTAAATACACCTTGAATGATTTATTGCCCAGACTTGCAGGGGAGGATGGTTGGGTGGATGAGATGACTGGGGCTTGGATAACAGGTCAGGAGCTACAGGAGACTGCAGACTATAAGTGGGCCTAGTTTGGGATTAGCCAGATTGATGGAACAGAACTTTGTCACTTTCCTTTGGGTTGGAAGGGGAGGAGGGTTGGATTGAAATGGAGGAAACAAATGGGCACTTTACGGAGCACAAGACACTTGCTCTGCAAAGAAACACAATGACCAAATTCATTAAAAAGATCTGGTGATATATAACAATATTTTCATTATTTAAGTGTGTAACAATTATAAGCCTTAACACAAAACCTCTCAGTTATATCTGCTCTCTTTTGTTTTTCAACTATGAATTTCATTTTGTAAATACATTCAAAGGGTTGATGTTCAAAATATGTAGTGCCAGCATTAGCTCACTTTGAAAAATGCAAAATAATGAAATAAAATGGCCTTGCTTTCCCAGCTTTTCCAATTAAAAGTTACTCTGTTACCCCTAAATCAGGACTTCTTTCAAAGTAATCAGCACAGGTTGCTTTTTAATAGAAAACTGTATGAAATCCAACTGTAGTTCTTTTCCTGTCAGCCCAATTAAGTGAGGAAATAGCTCCTAAATTTTTACCTAGGCCCACCATCTAGTCAACCACTACCATTCCTGTAGGGAAAACAGGACTTCATCTCATGTGCCAGTAATGCCCACCATATAAAAACAACCACACCCAATCCTCAGCTTTCCAATAAGGCCTTCTTCACTTGCCCCTGTAGGCCCTCAAAAATTGATGAAGTTGGTCCTCACTTCCCACTCCAGGTTGTAAATTGTCTGGGAAGAGAGGTTATAATAGCAAGAGAAATAAGGAAACAAGAAAGCCAAGGAAAGTAAGTTGTGGTTTCTTGTTTTCATTTTTATTCTTTCTGTTTAATAAATATAGCCTCTTTCAGATTTCACAAATCAAAATGATTGTGATTTTTAGTACTATTTGGTGTTTAAAATAATGCAACCCAACACACGGCCATCTGGCTGGGCCTGATTTATGGAAGTGGCACAGGGTCTGTCTGGAAGAAATAACTGCTCCTTGCTGCTCTCCCAGTTTTCCGGGCTTTTTAACCCCTGCATTGATATCTCAGGGAGAGGAAGTGGGGATGAGAGAAGAAGGCAATAAGTGAGTGACAGCCAAATGAGACTAGGGGAATATCATTCTATAAACTCACTACTTTCTCACCCCAAATACTTTTTTAAAGTCCAGTATGAAAGGACTCAACTAAGCAGAGCCTTTTGCGTCTTCAGTGCTCACAACCTGAGGCAGCACACTTTCATTTCCCCACACTGTAAATATTGATACATTAATGTGATCAATGTGACTGCTCTACAGGGTGTATCTAAGGAGTGATCCAAAGAGCTAAAGCCCCAGGGCCAGTAAAGAAATAGAGAATCACACTGGGGAAAGACCAAAACACGGAAATGTACACTCTTACGTCTGAGCTGGTACTCACACTGAGGGTAATGCAGTGTGGACCACATTCAGGATTTTAGAACTACATTCTTTCATTACTGGAAAAACAAAACCCAAACCCAAACCAAACCAAACCAAACCCAAAATGGCTCAATAATTTAAACTTAATTACATATTTATCAACGGAAAGTAGCTGATATAAAATATTTTATAGACATAAGCTATTCTTCACAACTATGAGTCTTCAGAAAAAGAGGACAGAGACATAGCAATATGATGGGAAGGAGAGGAAAAAGGGGCTAAACTTTGGGAAGGGGCTCTGTATTAACTACTCATAACCAGTTGGCACAGTTTTACTGCTGCTGTAGTCCAATCTTTTGATAGAGATGATAAAGAACACAGGTATCTCCAAGAAAAGTAGTATTTAGACAATCTCCCCTAAAAACACTAGAATATCCACTAAAATTAAAGGAAAGGAAAAGATTGTGAAATTTACAGTTTACCAAGGAATGACTACTAAGTTAAAGTACTTGAAGTTTCTGTCGTGGCTGTCCTTTACCCTAGATTTCCAAATAACACCTCAGGTGCAGCAGGCTCTACTGGCTTCCTCAGCGCTATCACTTAAGGATATGCATTAGTAAAAAAATATTTTCTAAAGATCTATTTTCTTCCCACACAGTGTTTATGCATCAGACACAGACTATTTCATTCTAACAAATTTATTTTCTTGATCAGCTCTTACGGAATCACTACTCAAATTAAATTACAATCAAATGATCACATCAAAAGATACCCTTATTACCTAACAACTGTCCATATTTTCATTTCATTTTGATTTGTGCTCGTCTGAAAAAAACACGTAATACAAGATCTGGGGAAAAATAAATTACCGTTTTGCAGCAGTTCATAAGTATTCTGAATAAAATATTAAAAGAAGTCATTTAATGAAAATATAAAGCAAATATTTTTAGATCAACAACGGATCTAACAATCTATATTGCCGTCTTTTGAAAAGTCTGTTTATTAAAACCTACCAAAAACACTGCTTGGAAATGGCAGTATTATATAATCACATCCACAGCACCCATTCAATCAAAGTTGGCAACGGATTGAGGAGCGAAGTCCAAGAAGTGCAGCGGCTGGTGCTCAGTCTTTCTAAATCCCTTTATCTGAGTCAGTCCAGAAATAAAAAATAAAAAATATTAATAAAAAAAATATTAGCGGTGGAATCTTTAGGCATCATCCACCCGAGTGGCAGCCGTTGCAGCCGGGCTTGTCGGCCGGGCCTCCCTCCATGCCCAGTCTGCCGGCCCGCGCCCAGCTCTGCCGGCCTCTCCCACTCCTTGACGGATGAGGATGAGCGGATGTCCCCTTCGCCCTCGCTCATCCCTCTGCTCTTCCGTGATGCTTTTATTTCCAAGGTTATTTGGAGGAAATGTGTCCTTTTTCTTTTGGCTTTGCTCTTCAGTTTGTTAATTTCAGAAGCTGTGAATATTATTTTGCTGGAAACTGTCCCCCCCCTTCCCATTTCATAGTCAGTATATTTGTCCCCAAATGACTTTAATATGGCCAAGAAGAACCGGGTCTCGGAGCAGAGTCATCCCTGATTAAACCCGGTGCCTCTGCTTTCTTTCAGATTGCTCCCAGGAAACAAAGTACCGGTGGGTCACTTTAGGCAGCCCTTTGGAGGGAGGGGGTGGAGGGAGGGGTGCTTTTTCTTTCTTTCTTTCTTTTTTTTTTTTTAAGAGACGAGGACAAGGCAGGTACTAGGTGCTGTCCACCATCGCCGTGTGGGACTTCTCAGGGTGGGCAAAACCTCAGGAGTGCAGTTTTCGTGCGCTAGGCATCTTCACCCTTCTTTAAAAACAAAAACAAGAACAAAAACGAAACACCACCACAGTATAAATGATATCTCACGATCGCCCCCTTTCTCTCGTCCGGTTTTGTTTGTTGTATACCGTTTGGGTATTTATTATGGTTTTGTGTTTGTTTCGCCCCTCTTTCCTTGAACTTCAAAAACGTTTCGTCGGTCAGTCTCTCTTTTCTTTCCTCCAAGGGTGGGCATGCCTGTCTTTGGGCGGAGGGGAGGGCGGCGGACCAGCGGGGACCAGGGCGACCCGGGTTCGGGGTAGGCGCGGCGTTGGCGGCGGCGGCGGCGGCGGTGGCAGCGGCTGCGGAGGCGGCAGCGACTCTCTAGTCGCTGCGCACCGGGCCTTCACTGCACGCTTGTCTGCAGTCCGTGGTGCGGCGGCGGCGTGTCGGCGCTTACGGTGCCCACTTGCGAGTAGACGTCGTCGGGCGTCTGCTGTTGGATCCCAGGCGGCGTCATGCGCTTTTCTTTTTGGCGCCGGTTACAGAACCAAACCCGCACCACCTCCTTCTCGAGCTGCAGGCTGTCGGCCAGGTTGGTGATCTCCTGCGCGGAGGGCTTGGGGCACTTGAGGAAGTGGCTCTCCAGCGCGCCCTTGACGCTCACCTCGATGGAGGTCCGCTTCTTGCGCTTCCGGCCCTGTGCCGCGATCTTGTCGATGCTTGTGGGGCTGCCGGTGCTCGAGTCCGCCTCTTCCAGCCACTTGTTCAGCAGCGGCTTGAGCTTGCACATGTTCTTGAAGCTCAGCTGCAGGGCCTCGAAGCGGCAAATGGTGGTTTGCGAGAACACGTTGCCATACAATGTGCCCAGGGCCAGCCCGACGTCGGCCTGAGTAAAGCCGAGCTTGATGCGCCGCTGCTTGAACTGCTTGGCGAACTGCTCCAGGTCGTCCGACGTCGGCGTGTCTTCGTCCGAGTGTGGGTCATGGCTGTTGAGTCCCGGCCCCGCGCCACCGCCGTGGTGCGGAGGCCCCTGAGCATGGTGCGGGTGAGGCGGGTGCGAGTGGTGGTGGTGATGGTGGTGGTGGTCGGCCAGTTCGGGCGTGTCCCCGCGCACCAGCCCTGGGTGCACCAGGCTCTGGGCACCGCCGCCCGCGCCGCCGCTGCCTCCGCCAGGCCCCGGGGGCGCACTCAGCATGCCATTCACCGTGAAGCCCCCAGGCTGAGAGTAAAGAAGGCTCTGCGGCGGCGGCTGCTGGCCCCCAGCCATGGACGGAAGGTGCGCGGCGGCGGCGGCGGCTGCAGCTGCAGCAGCTGCGGCGGCGGCGGCCCCCCAGCCCCCGGGGTGGCCCTGGTGCGGGGGCGGCGGCGGGGGCCCGAGGTGCGGCGGCCCGCGGTGGTGCAGCGCGGTGCCCGCGTGCAGGTCGTCGCGTCCAGCGCCGCCCTTCACGTCGGGGCCCTGAGGCGGCGGCGGCTGCGGTGGCTGCTGGGGGCTGCCGGCCATGCCCACGGCGCTGCCGGACCACGGCGAGCTTGCCTCCACTGCGGCGGCGGCGGCGGCAGCGGCGGCGGCGGCGGCGTGGGGCAGGGCCGTGACCCACTGGTGCGCGTGGCTGAGCATATGGCCGCCGTTGCTGGCGGCCATGGCCCCCTGCATGAAGTCGCTTTGGACCATCTTGACGGAGGACGGGTCCCCTCGGTAGGCGCCGGAGGTCACGGCGGCGCTGCCGGGCTGCATGCCGCCACCGCCGCCCCCCGCGCCGCCACCGCCCCCACCGCCGCCCCCGCCGCCGCCGGCTCCCGCAGCGTCCGAGTGTACAATGGAGCCGGCCGCCAGCAGGCTGTTCCCCGGCAGGTAGGGGTTAGAAGCCGCCGTGGCCATGCCGCTCCGCTCCCGCCACCCCACCGCCGCCACCACCGCCGCCGCCGCAGCAGCCGCGGCCGCTGCCGCCGCCGCCGCGCCCCCCCGCTTCCCGCCTCCTCCCCCCACTCCTCCCCCGCCCCCGGCCCGGGCCCCAGTCGGCCCCGCCGCCTTCGCCGCCGCCTCCTCCTCCGCCGCCTCCTCCTCCTCCGCCGCCGCCGCCGCCGAGGCCCCTGGCTGGAGCTGCAAGGCCGCTTGGCAGGGCGCGGGGGTCGCCGATCGGCCTCGGTCAGCAGCAGCAGCAGCAGCAGCAGAAGCAGCAGCGCTCTGGGGAGGGGGGCTAGCTTCTTCGGGCTTGCTCCTTGGCCGCCCCCTTCAGGGGGGGTCTTGGCTGCCCCCCAGCCCCGGCGCGTTCGGCTTGCTCCAGTGGGGCTTGCCGGGCGGGGTGCGGGCCTGCGCTTGGGCTCTCAGCCGGGGCGCCCGGCTCCCACTCCTCCTCCTGTCCTGGTGAGCGCGGACTCTGCCAGGGCGCGGGGCTCGATCCACCTGCTAAGTGGCGATTTCACGGGAGACAACAAAGAAAGAAGCCGTTCCTTTCTTCTTGAACCAAATTATGGATGACCAGCAGCCGGCCTGCTCCTTCCCTTGGCCGCTCTCCTCTCTCCTCAGGAACACATTTCACTCGTTGTCCCTTGGAGTAGTAAAACTTTTTTAGTCCTTGAAGGCGTGGTGATGCTGGCTGCTGGCGCGTGCGGAGAGAGGCTGGCTCCTGCTTTCCCCGTCTGGTCCTCTCGTTTCAAGTTTTGTTCTGTCCTAGGAAAACTTCTTGCGATGCTGCATTTCTTTGAAGTTGCTATTGCCGGAGCTCTTGGTTGCCTCTGAAACAAGAGTCCTTTTTCATTCTCCTCGCAACAGTCACAGTCTGATGCGACATCTTTCCTTTTGGGCAGAAATGAGGAAACAAATATAACAAGGAAAAAAATTGAACAGGAGAAAAATGAGGTCGAATGGTTCTGTTACCTTGTTGCTGAAGGTTGGGGCTGGTGTTTTATTTTTTTCCCAGCAGTTGTCTGGAGGAGGAGGAGGAGAAGGAAGAAGAGTGCATTGGTGGAGGTGGAGGGGTGTGTGTGCATATAGGGGATCCTTGATACACAACCAACTCCAGTGGGCACGTTGCGCGGCTCGTAGGGTGCACGGATGGCTCTGGCGCGGGCCGTGCCGGAGCGGAGTTGCAGAGGGAGCTCGTTCTGCGCCCTGGTTTGCGCTCTCTCTTCCTCTCTCACTTTCCCTCTCCCTCCCTTTCTCTTTCTCTTTCTCGCCCGCCCGCACGCGCTCCGGTCTGACAGTTCGCTCTCTGTCCCTCCCTCTCAGAGCGGGGACTGTCGAATGTTTACCCTCCGCCGTGAGCGCGCACCCACCACCACACTTTCCCAAATACAAGGAAGTCGAGCACCAGGGCCCCCGCTGATTGGCTACCTGCTGGGTGATTGGCAGGCCCGGAATGACTGGCTCAGGACGCGAGGCCCCCCTTCCGGCCGTTCCGATTGGTTGCTTTTTAATTTAGGCAGAGCATCGTAGATGCTGGAAATCTGTCTTCCCCCAGGCTCCCTCCCCCTTGCCACTTTCTCCTCCCCGCCCCTCTCCCGCCACCCCTTCCGCCACATCTTAACTCTTAGCGGCCGGCCGAGTCGTAGGCGTACCCTCCGCGGCTCTGGGCGTTCGCAAGAGGCCTGGGTGGAGGGAAGGAAAGGGGAAAGAAAAAGGACAGAATCAGAAGGAAAACAAAGAGGGAGGAAAAATCATGAAATATAGCAATCAGCCCACTCCACCTAGGACTGCGTTGTGTTGCAGCCCTCCTGCCCCCACCCATCCCGGAGATTTGTAAAGCGCGCGGCGATGATGCACCTTTCAGCTAATACCTATAGACAGATGTGTCCCCCAGTGGTTTCAAAGTTCCCTTTTTTCTTCACCAGCCGGCCCCCATCTCTGTCTCCACGGGGGTGGGAAAGGAAAGCTCGCAGCACCAAGAGCTCGGGTCATGGCCACACTTCTTGGAAATCCGCCACCGCAACTTTCCGCAGTCGCTTCGCGCCGGCGGCGGCCTCCTTTGTTTAAGTTCTCGGATGCCATCATCTGGGAAACCTTCAGCCCCGGACCAGCGCGGTGCCCGCGCGTGCGAGACGGACAGCTCGCTGCCGCGGCTGCGCTAGCCCCCACCTCCCCTGCCTCGCTCCCCCTCCCTTCTGCTCACCCCCTCCCTCCTCCCTCCTGCGGGTCAGGCAAGTAGCGTGCATGCCCTTGTGAGTTTGGAGGGTGCCGGTCAGCGAAGCCGGACGATGTATTTGAAAACCAGTCAGGCCGACCTTTCCCTATAGATACATCGTGAGTGTATTCCATCCCAGTGGCTTTAGGAATTCCCGTTGCAGCAGGAGCCGGCCTAGAGAGCCGGGATCCGCTCGCCGCTCCTTTCGCCGCTTACGGTGTGTGTGTGTGTGTGTGTGTGTGTGTGTGTGTGTGTGTGAGAGAGAGAGAGAGAGAGAGAGAGAGAGAGAGAGAGAGAGAGAGAGATTTCAGTGTGGTTATTAGCGGTGGGGTTTGCTTGCGGGCTATTCTTAGGCACATTGGTGGTTTTCTTTCTTTTCTGTCTCCGATGGGTTTGCGTAGTGGATGGGGCTGGCGGCGACAAACGCTTTCTCAGCCCCAGCCGGGCCGAAAGAGTTAAGGGGGACGGGCGGGGGAGTGCTAGGGGTAGGCGGGAGAAGCGGGGGTGGGGGACGCGACCAAGCGGAAACGCTGCACAGAGGAACCTCAGCGAACCAAGAAAAAAGAGAAAGTGGCAACGAAAACAAGGGCAAATTGAACCCTCCTCGGGGATTTCCAATGAACTAACCCAACTCGGACATTCAATAAATACATCGTTCTTAATGAGTCTGCGTGTGCGTGCAACCCGCACCCCAGCTCTGCGGTACACCCACCCTGCGCCCGCCGCCCCAGCTTGCTCCTGCGGCGGGCGCCCGAGCCTCGGCCCAGGACGTGGATGCGGAGCCGCCGTGTGTTTCCATTAAATTGTGAACCGGTCTGTCCTCCCCTCCCGGGGAATAATTCCTCTGCTGGGCTTAGTTAGGTGAACTCAGTTAAAGCCTAGCCGCAGCTACGCAGCCTTTGCATGATGTCCAGATTAACAGTAGACGCGTAGAATTTATGTAACATCTCGTCCAGCTCTGGCTTGCCCAGGAAGAGATACCAACGTAGGTAGGTTTTTAGCAAAGCCATTATTGCTAAGGTATAGATATGAAAAGCAGCGGTAACTGAACTCCAAACAGCACGATTTTTTTCCTTCTGCGTTCCCCTAAGGTTCCTTTTTATATTTATGTATGCGCGTATGTATATATAAAAGATGGAACACAGATTTCATTGAATAAATCTGAGATCTCCAGGTGCAGACGTTCGAATAGTCGGTGCCAGCACCCCGTGTTTTCCTTTCCTGCCGATTTTGCTTGGATCCGACTCAAAAACCCAGAGTCTCGTGGTTTTGTTTACACTGAATGGGGAGGATAGGAACAGAGCCATGGGGCCGTCTTTCATTAATATACAGTGAGGATTTTGTCTAAATTACTGCTATGAATTTCACAGTACACGCTTTCAAAAACAGTCTCAGGTGGCCTGATCAAACGTGATAGCGCCTCTGCAAACAGATCCACTTTCTTTCTTTTCAAGGAGGTTGTGTGTGCGCGCATGGGAAGCCCCCCAAAACGCAGTACTCCTCGACAACAGAAATACACTTCTGTTCTGAGGTTTGTCCCCTCCGTCCCCCCTTTTCTCCTACTTAGTCCTCCAGTGGCTCCCTAGCCTCCCCCCCCCCACACATCCCCACCCCACCCACTCCCTCCCTTTGCGAGTGTGATTGTTTTGTCTGGAAAAAAAATCCAAAGTATATAACAAGGGGAGAACAGTTAGTGCTGATTTTCATTTGCATACATTTTCATATATTTTGGTGAAAATAATAGACTAGTGGAGAGCTGGGCTCTGAGGAGTCAGTGTGAAGGGAAGGCTAAGGATGCATCGGTTCTGGGGAGTCGAGAACATGCCTTCTCCCCTCCAGTTACTTTATAAAAAAAAATAAAACATCTTTTATTTTAAAATCTAAGCCCGGAAGTTTGCACGGTAAGTGTTTTTCATTTTCTTTCCCTGCTTTCTCTTTTTCTCTCCCTTCTTTCCGTTTTTTTATGCTCTTGTAGGTTTGGGAGCTTATTTTCATTGCTTGGGACAAGAGAGGGTTCACAGAGCAATCGTTTTGAAGTAAGGATGGGAAAGTGTGTTGGGGGGAGAGTGAAAAACCACCTCAGCCCTACTAAAATATTATATAAAAAGATGGACTCGTTCCAAAGCTCCCCCAGCAAGGCACTCTTTCGGGGGGAGGGGAGAGTGCTATCAATTTTAATTGTTGATTGTGAGGGGGAAAAGCCCTAGAAAAGAAGCGTTTATAAAGCACAAAGTATTGTAAACATTTCTTGTTTGGGGAATTAAAAAAGAAATGAGGACCAGAGGGGAAGAAACCCCCTTTCTGTAGCCAGTACTGACAAGGTGAACTGTGTAGCTTGCTTGGGATTGGGGTGAGGGGATTCCTGCTGGGAGCAGAGGATGGAGGGGGGGCTTAGCAAAGGGAGGGCAAAGAGCTGGAGGTGAAGGGAGCAGGGGAGGAAGAAGAGGCAGGAAGTCAGCGGACCGGGGTTAGTACCGGTTCTGTGAGCAAGCAGTTATTTGCAGCCTCCCAGCTTGCTAGTGAAAGTCCATCAGAAAGAAGGTGATCAATCAAAACTAACCAGGACATCCTACCCTTTATTCCCCAAGGGGCTGGAGCTTGAGCATAGCAAACTAGATTTTACTTTGTTTTTCATATTTGACAGCCGGCCTTGCCCCCTCCTAGCCACTGCCCCTGGGTTTTGTAAAAATTGAGGGTGCAGTTACTTGCTAGATGCAGTTAATTAGATAAATATGGCTGGAGGAAATCGCTAGGCCAG